TTTCTTTTCCACTTATCTTTCACCATGTTTTTCAGACTGTGACCTTTAAAAGCCCGAACTACAAATGTTCAAAGCATTAAGGAGCTTTGCCCCAGCCTGGGGGTTCCTAGCTAATCTGAACTTGGCTTTGGGCAGCAGCTTCTAACCCAGGGCAGTGCTGGGGGTCATCCCTGAACCACCTCCAGGGCTTAGGAGGCTGAAATCTACCTCCTTTAGAAAACCAGTCCCAGTCTGTGCTGGGTATCTGGCCCCTGGGGGCTCCAGGCCTGGCACGGCACTGCTCCTTCTCAGTGAACCAACAAACCCTGGAAGTTTGGCGCTGTCATGCTGGGAACAAAGCACTGACCTTAGCCACAATGCAATGCCAGCAGATGAAAGGGTGCCCTTGTTTGCTGCAGCCTCCTTCCTGAGATTCTCTCTACCTCTCCTACTGCCCAGGTAGGGGAGGGAGCGGAAGGGTGCCTGCTTAAATGCTGATAAGTAAATTCAAAAGCATTTTTAGTGCAGCTTTGAATCTCACTTTACTGCTTATCTTTTCAAACAATATGAACTACAAGTTATCACATTTAAAGTGTTTCATATGAGCCTTTTAACATTACATTCAGCTCTTAAAACCCAGTGCAATGTGCTACATACTTTAAAGGACACAAGAGTCAAACTGGAAATCATTTTAAAGCTTAATATAGTCAATTCCCAACATAATCGGGTGCAGAGTGAAGAAAAGATGAGGCCAAGTTAGCGGTTCTCTCTCTTTACCACCTTTGAACACTAAGGAACATGAAACCGGCTGTGTCATGGGCCCCAAGCATGGAAACCCCTCACCTGCGCCTGCCTATTTAGCCCAAGGTCCTTTCGTATTCATACCCACGAGCCTGCACAACGCAATTTCTGGACCATTCGAGAGTTCAGAAAGGAAAATCCACTGCCTGTCAAGGGGAGCAGAGGGAGTTGCCATTGCATCATCCTCTCAGTTAGGACTAGGCCTAGGCCTAGCAGGACTCCAGCAGTGCTTTGAGGTGGGGGTGAGGGGTCTGGAACAGGATTCTGCTCAGGCTTTGGGAAGCCCCCAGTTCTGCTGTACTGCTGTGTGAGGCTCAAGCTGGAGGCAAGGCAGGAATCTTAGATCAGTAGGCTAATTGGTTTGTGCTAAATAGAAGCCATACTTGCATACTAATTTACACGCCATTACCCAGAGCTCAGTGCACTGAAGCCTGCCTTCTCTCAGGCAGCCCCTTCTAGATCCAGAATGTATTCCACTCAACTCACTCAGGGCTTTGGTACTCCTCGTGCCACCAATGGGGTCAGTTTTCTTAAGAACAGACACCTACACTGACCCCAGTTCCTTAGCCCCTGGCTCAGGCAGCCTGCACTTCAGGGCCATGATGCAATGATACTCCTGCAAACTGTGCTGCAGTAAAAATTACCCTGGAGCCTACAGATTGAGGGGAGCAGCAAACATTCGATGCCATTGATTTCAGGTGATAGAATAAGGCAACCCACTGCCACCATCTCTTTTCAGAGCTAGGCAGTACCCACAGCACAGACAGAGAGAGCCCAGGACTCTGAGTCCCAGAGCCCCTGGGAGCAGAACTGCTCCTCACACCATGAGCCTTGCTTCCAGCCATTCTCCAAGGAATCTATCTCTGTCGAGATGAGACCTGGAGACTGCTTCTGCAGGAGCTACTGCCCCATCTCCAGAGCAGCCACAGCCACCAAATTCCTTGGTTTTTATCAGTGGAAATGACATTGTAAAGATCTTACACCCTGAGGATCCGGGGTCTTTCACATCTGACTTGCAGTTGAAAACTGTGTGCCTTCTCTCCCTATTAGCATGTGAGCCCCTGGAGAACAGGTACTGTATTGCCAAGTACTTGGCACATAGTAAGCACTTATTAAATGTGTTTTCTTTCATTCAGTGTCCTCTATCAGACCAGAGTGGGCAATATTCCACAAAAGAGGAAGATGCATCATCCATGCTCACTGAAGGTCCCCTGGCAAGAGCCAGTGCTGACATGAACGTTATTTTTACTTAGACCCAAAGCCAAAACTTAGAATCACAAATTTTTAGAGCTCAAATCTTCCCACCCCCTCATTTTACAATGGAAACACTGAGGTTCGTTCAGACTTACTCAAAGTCAGTCTGAGTCTACGTACCTCAAAGCCAGTGTCTTTTCCATCATACCACACGTCTGTGTCTGAACTTGCATGAATCCATAGCAAGACTGTGCTCTCTGTAAGCCTTGCTCTTTACTTACTCTGGGGTTCCACATGCCACTCTTTTTTCTTTTAATTATTTTGATTTATCAACAATCACTTCCATATGCTTTTGAGTTTTAATTTTATTTTTTTTTAGTGAGGCAATGGGGTTAAGTGACTTGCTCAGGGTCACACAGCTAGTATCAAATGTCTGAGGCTGCATTTGAACTCAGGTCCTCCTGGCTCCAAGGCTGGAGCTTTATCCACAGCACCACCTAGCTGCTCCCCATATGCCCCTCTTTTGCTAGAAGGCAAGAAATGTTTTACAGGGTGATACTTTAAGAAGAAAATTAGATGATGGGCAAACATGATACAACAGATTTAGCCTAAGCTCCCTTCTCTCACTCCTATATCCTACTAGCCTAATTGAAGATCCAAGGCTCATAAAACAGAGCGGAAAAATAATTTCTTTTAGGTCCTGTTCATTAAACTGTGAGCTCCTTGAGGGCAGGGAATGTCTTCTGCTGTTCTTTGTATTCCCAGTGTTTAGCACAGTGCCTGGCACACAGTCAGTGTTTAATAAATGTTTACTGACTGACTCAGGATCTCATAGACCTTCCACTCTTCCTCACTGCTCTCATATGGATGGGATCATCCTTCCTCCTAACTTTTCATTTTCTCCATGAAACCAGTGTCCTGGGTCTTAACTCAGAAACTCTACATGCCAGCAGAGAGAAACCCAAATTTCCTAGCAATAAAAATATCACCAAAGCTCTTGGCGGTCCTACAACGGTAACAAGTAAAGGTACTCCAAAGGAAATCCATAGATAATAAGATAAACAAAAGCAAGGGAAGGCATTCTCTCTCTCCATTTACCACATACCATGGTCCTCCAGACAAGGAGTAAGTAATGAATACTTCATCAATAGAGTTGTTGGACAAATGGAATATACACAAATCGTCAGAGTGATTCGGATCCCACAGTCTTAAAGAGTATTAGTTAATGAACTTACCAAATTACCCACAGTTGTTTTTGAAATGTTATGTTGAAAGAGAAAGTCAGAAAGGACTGAGAGGAAATGCTTGGCTTGGTAGGGGTAAGGGAGAGAAAGGAAATGTTCTGTTTACAAAGACGCAAATCCCTATTGAATGTATGACAAAACAGGAGTGAACAAATGCAACTCCAATAATGAAAGAAAAAGCAAAGAGGTAGGTTTTTATTAAAAGGGGAAAATCTCGTATGAATACAAACATCATCAGGTCATCTGTACACATAAAAATGCAGGAGGTATAGCCAGAGGGACAGAATGACACGCTGGAACCAAACACTTCTGATTTTCTGTACCTGGTGGCCTCAAGGAATGTCCCTATAAAAATCAGTCAACTCTACTCATCTGGAAAGTTTGTGCTAAGCTATGACACTCCCCATTTCTTGAATCTGGCCCACGGGAGAAAAGGATATTGGCGCTAATGCATTAAATGCATGAAATGTCTGTGGAAGGAAGCCGTAGGAAATGCTAAAGGCCCAACTGCACTTCAAAAGGTACATTCTGGATCAATTCAGGGCCACAGACTCAGTCCTCCTGTTAGATCAACTGGTATGAAGTGGCCATACAGGATAAAGAATCCTAGGGAATATTTAGCAACCCTTACAAAATTCAGGGCAAGCTAGGGATAGGGGGAAAGGGAGGACAGGGGTCAAGACCAACAGAATCCTTTATTTGCTATCTCAGTCTAAAAGCTAAATGAGGCCAGAACAAATCTGTGAAGAACACTCACCAAGGGGTTTTACAAAGGAGGCAAAAACAACAGAAAAGGTTCCAGAGAGAATATGCTTACACAGGAAAAGACGGTACAGTTCAACCTTCATAAACTTAAGCCAACACAAGCCACTGTCCCCTGCCCCCCTACAAATCTAGGAGGACACTGGGACAAAAGAGTTTCAAGTAGCAACAAGCAAGAGAACTGGAGATGAGAGTAGAGAGCAAATGAGATGTGAGGTGGCAATGTGATCCAAAGAGAAGGGGCGGGGAGGGAAGGCCAACGAAGGGAGAAACTATGGAGACTGATGGTTCCATTTTATCTGGCATGTCTCAGTGAAGCATCTCAAAGCACTTTAAGGGCCATAGCTTCTTAATCCTTCCAGAGGAAGGCACTGAGCTGAAACATCCCCTAAGGAGCAAGGAATGAACTTCAGGACCAGTCCTTGGCCCAGCATGCCACCTCCTCCTTCGTGCTGTATGTGACAGAGAATGGTGGATGAGGCCCAATGCAACATTAAAGGCAGCCTCTAATATATATATATATATATATGTATGTATGTATGTGTGTATATATATATATATATGTATATGTATGTATGTGTGTATGTATGTATGTGTGTGTGTATATATATGTATATGTATGTATGTGTGTATGTATGTATGTATGTGTATATATATATATGTATATGTATGTATGTGTGTATGTATGTATGTATGTATGTATAGTGAAGAGAAGGAGAGCTCAATGAGCCTTTCCTGGCAACTTACATCTGTGGCACAGAAGGAGGACAGGAAAGGATGCTATCACATTTTGGACATTACCCAGTTGTTCTCCCTTCCTTCTGCCTACCACAGTGTACTGCTGGGCTCTTCACGGTCCCTGGTTTGTAGCTGCCGTAAGTAGTCAGCTGGTCAAGAATAAAATAAGCAAAACGCCATACAAAGGAAAGAATGCTTCAGTCAACATTGAAAAAGGTCTCTGGATTGAAACTCTAGATAACAGCTCTGAACTCATTTAAAAATCAGCATTAGCCACCAAAATGTAAAGCATTAGTTTTATTAAAATGCAAATCAATCAACTAATCTGTCTTTCTAGTAACAGTTGAATTGCAGTATCCGTGTCAATTAAAATAGTTTCCAATTTACTCTTGGCTGGAAGGAGGGTGGTATTCTGAATTTTAAAACATAGGCCTCCCTTCGATGAAAACCCCTTGCCTGTTCGGTATTTTGCATTGCTCCCAACTTCTCATTCACTTTAATTAAGCATATTTGCTTCAAAGATTCTGGAACACCTATTTAGATCTCATTCTTCACCTGATAAAATTTGACAGTGACAAAAAGCCTGATCCCCTTAAGAAAGCAAGCTGGGTGTTACGTTCATAGAAATATTTAAGAGTTATTTACTTGCTGTTATAATATGCATTATCTGGAAGTCCTCAGGCCAGATGGAAAGAATCATACATTATATTCAAAAAAGAGATCTTTTTTGAGTGATGCCTTATATTTCTGGTGATTGATATTTTCTGGAAATGGAGCAGCACTGAAAATTTTATGTTTCCTTGACAGTCAAACCCAAGAGGTGAATATCGAGGCAGGAAAAACAAGTCACCATGAAAAAAAGACCCATTAATTAGAGTGGAAAAACCTTCTTCCCTTCTATTTGCCCCCCATCTTGTGCTCGGAAGACATATATGTATGTAAAATAAGAATCTGTAATTCTGTTCTGACATTTTCATCGCCAAAATATTATTTCCCAAACCACAACTCTGTATTTATGACAATTACACTTTGTGAGCTGGTCTAAGGGTCTCTTCTTAGACTCTAAGGCATCAAATAAAGACTTGGGCAGAGCAAAGGATGCAGCTGAGTACTTGGCTCTACGTGCTGCTCCATCCATATGCATGCATTACTTATGCACGATCATCTTCATTGTAGATTGACCACAGCAGGCCAATAAATCCCCCTTATGGGGATTTAATTTCCAGCTTTTGACCTTTGGATGAAAAACAAGTGAATCATCTGCTCCTGCTAGATTTACACCAGAGTTAACCTCAATAAAGTGTGTCATGAGTGGTGAGAAAGGAACAGGATTCTGAAAGAATCCTTATTAGTTAGAGGAAAACAGAGAAAAGAAAGTCAAGAGATCAATATTTAACTGAAAATCCACAAATATTTCTGAGCTGCAAAAAAAAGGGTGGGTGTGACCATCAGGATTTTCTAGAGCTCCTTGTGGCTCAGTGCCATGAAAAACTTCTGATCAGGACAAGAAGCATTTTGCTCAGGCTGTCTTCTTTCAGTGCAGTCTTATGACATGCAGTCCCAATGTCTATTCAAATAGCTTCTTGCTTGAAAGAATAATTCCCAACCAATTACTGAACATTCCAGTAGAATACAGGGTCCTCTAACTGCCGATGCTTTCGAAATGTTTACAAGCAGCAAAACCAACAGCACTTCTCTGTGATCATCGAAGATACAAGGGATGGCTCTCTTGGCCACACAAAGCCCTGAAGAAACTTTTAAAAAGGGAGAGGGAGATGATCCTTAATGTCCTGGAGGTATCAAACAGGTATTATGAGTGGGTGCATATTAGAGATACTTCTTCCTGAGGAACTGCTCTAGCTCTCCCACTAAATTCAGCCTCAGGTGTCAAAGAGGTGTCAACTGTTTAACTAGATGAGCAGCCAGTGCTGGCATATGGAGATAGCTTCTTGTTCTAGGGCTGTCTCTTCAATTCCAGTAGAAAAGACACACCTGCCTGGAAGGCGGTGGGTAACCCTAATTTGGAGGGTCTTCTGCAGGTGTGCTGACTTTTCCAAAGAGTGATCGATAAAGCTCTGTCCTAAAAGACAAAACCAAAAGGAAAATATGAAAAAAAAAATGCATGCCAGGTAACTTTTTCAAGGTTAAATCCAGACGAAGAGATATGAAATACTCTAATGTTCTTTAACAGAAAATCCACTAAGTGCATTCCACAGTCCTCCTTCCTTCATAAACACAGAGGAAGGAAAGGAGCCTCTGAGCAAACTAACCACAGGCTGCACTGAAATATGTCACTATTCCAGGGTGGCTGGGGACCCTGTCTCTAGGGAATGAGCTTTCTCTAAGTTTGCCCTTTACAGACAGGCTCTTCAAGTAAAAAAACAAGATTGAATATTTTAATAGGATGTATGAGACTGCCACACTCTAAGGAGGATTCAATCAGGAATGGGATGTGGGGGATATAATTTAGTTTTCATACATTTTCTTGGACTTGACGGTACTTGAAAAACAATGAAAATGACCCAGCAACAAGATTCCAATTAATATTGCATACGCAGACGTTCCAATAGTAGAATTGAGTTCCCCTTTTCCCTCCCCTTCCCTTCACCCCAATAAAAAATTAGACTAGCTTATTTATTTCTAAAGGTTGGATTTTTACACACACACACACACACGCACACACACCCAGGATCTTGTGCTGCATATTCATAGAGTCACTTGGTGGGGGGTGTCAAGAAATGCCTAAAGAAGAAGGTAGTAAAAAGGTAAAAGTCAAGTCACATAAACATATTATTAGATGTTGACTTTGTGCCAGGCACTGGGGATTCAAAGAAAGGCAAAAATGGGATCCCTGCCCTCAAAGAACTCACATTCTATTGGAAAAGACAATGTAAAAAATTACGCGTGCAAAAAACACAATGCAAATGGAAACACTCCAGAGGGAAGCACAAGCACTGGGGGGGGGGGGGGGGGGGGTTGGGGGGGGGCGAGGACAGTAAGAGGGAAGCACCAGGAGAGGGCTTCTGCAGGCACGGGGGCCGGCCAGTGAAAAGGCAAGGGGTGGGCAACAGAGTGTTGTGTGTGAGCAATGACGAGGAGGTCAGTGCTACTGGGTCCCAGACTATGTGGAGAAGAGTGAAATGTAAGAAGACTGCAAAGGTAAAGAGGAGTTGGGTTGTAAGGGCTTTAAATGACAAACAGAAGACTTTCTATTTGATCCTACGGACAATAGGGAGCTGCTAGACTGAATGAACGTGTATGGTTGTGGGGACTGGGGAGGGAGGCAGGACACGGTCAGGCTTGAGGGGAGGACCTGGGGAGTGGGGAGGTAGGGGGGAAAAGAAGACACCACCACCACACAGGGGCAGATCCCAGAATACAGCAGCCTATGGTCACTGAACAGAACTTCACTTCAGAGGTCAGAGGGCCCAACCAAGAGTTCCCCAGCAGAGCTAAGCATACCTTACAATATATAAAGTCTGGCCCACAGGAAAAACAATGTGGAAGTTCTTGCCAAATAAGGACAGATAACCTGATGGCACAGGACAGGCACCATTATTTAACATAATGGCCCAACAAACATCTTGAATGAAAGAAGAAATGGGCTGAGGAAACAGTCTCAACCCAATGAAGATGGAACCGGTCAGTTTCATGGCCTAATTCCTATTACCGCTAATTCTGAGCTCCTAAGCTCATGAAGGCACAGTACTGGTGAGCCACACTTTTTATTTAATAATATCTTTTGCCTAGCTTTGGAAAACATCACAGCATCTGCTGTTTTTGTGTGGTAAGTCTTCAACGCGAGTTTCTTCAGGGGCATTTGTAGCTCCCTACAGTGACTATGGACAGGAACTATGACAACAAACAATAACCTCATCTAGAAATCAAGTTACAAGAAAGAGAGAAACTTAAAAATAAGAAGCTGCTTTCAAAGTCCTGAAGGGAATTAACCAGGCACAGCCAACACCCTAAAACCATCTACAGAGGCATTATAATCTGCAATAGTGTAGGGAGCATCCATAACAACAAAATCATGAGTCCCTGAAGTTGGTACAATCAAGGCAATGGTAGGAGTCCAAGAACTGGGTTCTAGCCCTGGCTCTGCCACTAATTAGCTGTGATCATGGACTAGTCATGAGGCAGCCAAGTGGTACAGTCAGAAAGACTAAGTTCAGATCTGGTCTCAGATACTTCTTGGTTGTGTAACCCTGGCAAGTCACTTAACCTGTGTGCCTCAGTTTCCTCAACTGTAAAATGAGGATAACAACAGCACCTGCCCTGCAGGGTTGTTGTGAGGATCAAGCAAGACAATAATTGTAAAGCGCCATGCAGTAGGTAGTATGCACTATAGAAATGTTGCTTCTCTTCTCTCTGTCCCCCTTGGCATAATTCAAGATCAATTCTAGTCACTTGTCTATGTGCCTCAATTTCCCCATTTATAAAATGAGATTTGACTTATATGATGTCTAGGGTCCCATGGGATTCTAACAGAATGATTTATTCATTTCCCCCCCCCCCCCCCCAAGGTGCAAGTCCTTTTGTGATTTTCTTTCCCAATTTGTGGATTTTTGTTAATATGGTCACTTCTCATAATCTCCAAGGAGCTCAGCAAGGTTTATGTCATACCGCCCTTCCCCCTCCCCCATCCTAAGCTGAACCACAACAGCCCTGGGGAGAAAGAAGGGGACACTTCTTGACAACTTCTATGAAGGCTGATCTGAGCCACTGAATGTAAAACACGTGGGCTCAACCTCCCCTAAGGTGGCTCCCCTGGAGGCTGCTGCCTGTCTTCTCTTCAATCCAAGATGAAGGTCACAGACTATCACGAGCTCCTCTAGAGGCTCCACAGGGTTCTGCTCTCCTCTGCCTTCCATTCAGGAGAGTCTCTAGCCCTTAACTCTTAGCTGGGAGGGAAGAAAATGATATAAAGAGAGAGATTCACCAACTCACAGGACCTAAAGGTCTCAGCACCAGTACCAACTCAGTACAGACTCTACTGGACCCTTCAGTTCTCAGAACAGAAAAAAATGTCCATTTCCAGGCTTTTAAAAGCATCCGTATGCAAAACACTCATGCATATGAGCAATGTTCATATAGCAGGGAAAATCAAAACATCTAGTAGTGATGACTAAGGGAGTTTGAATTGGCTTTCAAATAATTTTTTCCCCTATATGTTCCTTATGAGTTCTCAAGAATTCTTCTTTACCCATGTGCTGCCCCACAAAAGACAAGTGCATGAGATCTCTATGGAGCCATGTGAGCAGCTGAGCCTGGCTCCTAGTTTTAAATGGCTCTTTTTCCTACCCTCCCTCCCCCTGCTCCATGAACTCACTGGTACAGGGGACTCCTGGTGAGGAAATTCCCTCTACCAATGAAGATCTGCAACTGCTCTGCAATTTACAGTCTTAGATAGTAGCCTGGGGTAGTGGGAGGTTAAGTGCCTTGCAAAGATAGATGCCTTTTTCTAAACAATCATACATACACAAACTGTCCTTTACCCCATTTTTAAATTCAGAGGTTTCATCTCTGGCTGAATTTTCCATTCACTGAAGGAATCCAGTGATGTTGGGGACAGAAATTCAGAATCATAAACTACAGGGATACTGAGTTTTCTGAGTTTCAGCAGACTGGGAGCTAGCTGGGTTTTCCTAGATTCAGAAAGACCTGGGATCCAGAGGCCAGTGCTCAGGACAAGGCATCAGTCAGTTTGTGAAAGACAGCCCGACCCTATGCAAAATAAAATAACAGCAGCAGCAATAACCACCTAGCCCTCTTAACAAAACAAGTGTCAAGGAATCAAGAGTCACGTTTTCTTCTACAGTACAGAAATATTTTCCCCTGCAGCATCTTCCCTCACCAGGACTTAGCCATGCAGAGAGCCAAACTATCAATCCTTCAGGTTAACCTTGTCTCCATCTGATTCTGCAGGCTAAGTGTATAGTTTAATACTCTTGGTCCCCCCCTTAAGGCTATGCATAATGAAGTCAGAATTAAAAAAAAAAATTCCTCCTACCAATCATATTGAGAATTGAAATTTGAGTCACTGAGCTGAAATGTATTTCCGCCCTTTGTCCACCCCCCAACATACTCAGCTTCAACTGCCAGTGGGAACGTCCGTTGGCGAAAAGGTGACTTTTAGCACCTTTAGAGTATACTGCTATTAGTACCATGCAGAAGAATAACCTACATAGAGTAATTAACAGGACTTACACCTGAGGTAGAGAAAGGCAGAAGGTCGATAGCAGGGGCTCTTCCTTGAATTAAAATTTAACTTACCCTTTATTGCAACCTACAAAAGCAAGTAATGAGCACTAACATTTTTATTTCTTTTAAACTGTCATTTAGGCTGTAGAGGGGATAATTACCTATCTTGACTGTAGTAAGGTTTTATAACCCTTAGTGAGGCATTTTCTAATTTAATATTTTTACTATATTATCATAAAACCTGTTTCTGGAAAAAATGGCCATGGATTAGCAGCCATTTTCCATAAAATGTGTGTATGTGTGTATTAGGATCTGGACTTTAATTATTTATTATGCAATTCTTCTGACCATGCTCAAAAAAAAAAAAGTACAAGCTGTGCACATCTGTACAATGCAATCAATTGTACTTAGCAGTAGGTACATTTCAAACATTACTGAACAATGCAAGGCAAATGCCCATCATTGTAAGGCAGATGGGCACACGCACATACACATACAAACATTCTCGCTCTTGTTCTCCACATGCACACTGATCATGAGACTCAAATGCTGACAGTTGTAGCTCATGATGGTAGTAGGACAAATAGCACAACAGGGGCATATGAAACCTGCAAATGATCTTGGTTGGCTCTCAATTTCCAAGGCCTGTAGCCTGCAGCAGTAACCAGGAGTGTGTTTCCTGAAGGAACTGTACCTACATCCTCCCCACCCCCCACCTCATTCCCAAACACTATTTTCCTCCTCACCAATTTCTGTAACACTATGGATGCCATTCAGTGCTGCCCCCAAATACAGACAGTGGTAGGAAATGTGGGCAGAAAGCAATCATTCCCTGCTGTTCCTCATCCTACCCTATCACCCCAAAGTCATTTTCCC